GCTGTGCAATTAATCGAAAATCTGATTCCGATTTTGGTTTCTAACGATTATGAAAAACCATTAATCGAGATAAACAATTATTGCATCTTATACCACCCCCTTTCCAGTTGTACACATTTGTTGCTCTTAAAAGCACGAAAGACCGCATGCTTCTGTGTGTGTGCGGAGCATCTGAACATAATAGAATTGATAACTCATTTCTAATAACTGATTTCTTTGATCTTTGCTATGATGACAGCACATAATATTTTACTAGACTTTTTTTTTTAACTAGAATCATTCAGATTCAAAAAGGCGATTCAAATGCTTAATTAGGGTAAAATAAGAGTAATTAGGCAAGTCATTGTATAACAGTGGTTTCTTCTGCAGACAATTAAAAATATATGGCTTAAGGGGGCTAATAATATTGACCTAAAATAGGTTTCAAGATATTTAAACCTGCTTTTATTCTAGCTGAAATAAAACAAATAAGACTTTCTCCAGAGGAAAAAATATTATAGGAAATACTGTTAAAATTTCTTGCTCTGTTAAACATCATTTGGGAAATATTTATTTTACAAAAATTCTTAGGAGCGCTAATAATTTTGATTTCAACTGATAATCATTTTGAATAATCGTGATTATGATTTTTTTCCAAAATCGAGCAGCCCTAGGGCCGAACACACCGAACACGCTTTTTTTCAGCAAGCATTTTGTGCGCTGCTTATGTGCCCTACAAGCCTTGCGTTTGAACCGCCTACTGGACCTTGCATTTTCACCATTGCACACTGTTTTGCTCGCAGTTGATTAAAGTCAACTCTGAGCAGAAAAAGCACGTCTTTTTCATTTTCCCTAATCAAATGCGGGCAGAGGCAGGGTTTCCGTTGAGGTAACAGCAGTGTTTGTGTTGTCAAGACGACTATGGAGACTATTAAAGCTGAAAGAAAGACTAGTGGTTACTGTTTTGAGCTATCTGCAGCTGTATGACTTCACAAATCTTGAATATCACAATATTATTAAATAATAAAATGATACCAATTTTAACAGCAACACTTGCACTCAATAGGCAGCTGATTCAGTCATTGCCTAGCAACATACATAGCGCACCACACTTCTTTTTTCTTGTTAACAAAAAAAGCAGTTTGCTGCGCCTCGCATGTTTGGAACGTAAAAGCGCGTTCGCTGTGATCGGCCTTTTAAGCTGTTTTTTTCAGCAGGACTTATGTGTATGATCCTATCCTAGAAAACTTACATCTACAAAAAGAAAACGTAAGACAGAACATCCGAGGGCATTCAAAGAACCAGAAACTAAAACGTTCTGTGAACCAACATTGGATTCTTTTCACATTTGCGGGTTTCACAGTAGCAGAAGTCGTCGTAGTTGGGTAAACTTAGAGCACAGTGAATGGGACCAAACGACAAGTAATTTTTTTACAATCCCATTTGCTGAAATAATAAAAGAAAAACTCTATGATGGTGTTATCAAGACTTTCAGATGAAGGAAAAAATTATGTGAGACTGATAACTACAGACAGAGGAGAGAATGTCAAATGGTAATTTGCACAAGTGGTAAATAGTTTTTTTTTTTTGTAATTTGATACAAAGATGATATAATACATACAGTATGTGAATACATATTTGTACATATGTTTTTTTTATCTAAATGTTAAAAACTTTAAAGGATTCAAGATTATTATGATGACCGTTAAAAACATCCTAACAGTCTTGTGTAAGGGTTCATAGTGGTTGCTGCTATATCAGATATGGTTGCAGCCGGTGTTCTGTCAATTGTCCTACCTTTTCAGATTGTCCTACCTTCCATTCAAAAAGTAGGTAGCACATTTTGATGACACAATATGCTCCCCATCAGATTTAGCTACCAGTGTAAATTTTCATGAGGAGAAGTGTGATATTAAGCTGTAATATTGCCCTAACCCACCTAATCCCTAACATCAGCTAACCTTAAACTCAGAGCCATTCAATTACAGTGTTGGTAGCATAATCTGATGGTAGGATAAAATGTTAGGACACCTGATTTATTAAATTTCTCATTAATTGTATTTAACATCTACCCCTTCCCCAACCCTAAACCCAACCGTCACAGTAAAGTGAAAACAGGAGTTGCACCGAGTATTATTTATGTTATTTATTAAATTACTCAATAAATTATATATTTTTAATGTATACCCCTAACCCAATCCAACCATCTCTGTAAAAATATTATTGTAAAAATTGACGCGATATGTGCGTATCAGCAGCCGAAAGTTAAAGAAAATCATTTACATTGTTTTTTAAATTTCCCATTTATTGTATTTTATTAACCTCTAAGTTACCACTACCCTAACCCCAACCTTCACAGTATCGTAAAAACAGTAGTTGTACCTCGTGTTGTTATCTATTAACTTACCCAATAAATTGTATTTTTAACGTCTACTCCTACCATAACCCTATCCATCACAGTATTGTTAAAATATGAATTATTGTTTTACTGTGTCATAAAAACTGCTGTTATATTGATGTGCATATTGCACTTCCGGCCGGCTGTGTATCTTATCTAAGTTAGGCTTTTTACCCTGAATGAAACAACGAACGCAGTGCAAGCTGGGTTATTCAATTCAACGAAAAAATTACTCATATAAACCGTTGTAATGAGTGAGATTATTACTCACGAAACAGCCTTAAACTCGCTCGTGTTTCAGTAGTTCGACGTTCAGATCTTCTATTCAAAGGACTCCTCGCAAAACAAGTAAGTTGTCGTTTGCTTCTTTCTGATTTTGACAAAGAAGAGCCAATCTTCTCACAAATGACTGTTTCACGAACAAATGACTCTTATGAACAAGTTATTTTTAATCCTGCAGGATGGTTAATGAATTTACAACTGACTCACCCACATTTTCACGAGTCTTGCTTCTGTGCGACTTTACCGTTAAAGCTGCAGTCTTTATTTTAATGTAAGAGCGAGCGCGGCCATCTTAACATGAATGTAGGCTAACGTTACGTCTTATTATTTGTTTCCATCTATATTACATTGCAGTTTAAAAAGGTACGTTGCTGTTTTATTATGCAAACTTTGTATTTGCTCTCATATTTTATTGTAGTGTTATTAACCATACATTTGTTGTCCAAATAGTTTTACGGTTTTTATAATGAATGTATCTGTTTCTTACACAAGAAAAAGCTGTGATGCTGCAAAATAAGATGGATCCATAAGGCAGGTGTTTTTGTCTGGAGCCATATTTGACTACACAGCATATTTACATCCAGGTAATTGTTGAATTATTATGGTTATGTATATTTTCTACTTTTCAAGTTGCTTATTTGTCCTTTGACTTATTTTATTTATTTTAATGTAAGGTATGTAACACTGTTACCTAGGGCTTTGAAAATCTACTGAATTTCATTCTTGATTCATTCTTAATGGGCTGTATGCACAGCCAGTGTTTTTCAACTTATTATGAACCTGCAGAGAAAGGTTTATGTGACTTTTCAATTTTACAGGATACTTTTACAGCATCGATGTTGTAATGTAATTCAAATATAACTAGTTAAATACACTTAAGCATCCATTTGGCTGTTAATGAGTAAAAAGAGACAAAAGACTGTTGAATCGCAGCCGCCGTCATTAGCAGCATGCGAGCCGAGTGCAGAAACTCCATTGAAAACACTGCAGTTAGGCATGGGATGGTATAATATTCTGATGGTATGATAACCTTGGAAAAAAAATATCACGGTATTGTGATTACTGTTTTAAAATATATATTTTTTAAATGTCTGTGTAAAAAAAATCCCCTTTGAAAACAATATATGAAGAGTTCAAATGCAATATGATTATGTTGAGTTATTTCATTTTGTGTGTGTTTATTCCATGTGCGTGTATATAGATATATATGTATATAATTTTATTTTGTTGTTTTTTGTTTTAAGATTTATAAAATTTTGGAGCAGTAAACATGTCAGGCTGAATAATGAAAATGACGCATTGACTTCTGCTGTCTTCATTTGTTTCCAAAACACTGATTTCTTTACAATTTAAAAGCTCTTTGGATATTTTTTCTGCTAGAGATACTGTTGTCCTAAAAAATGTAAATAAAAACTCTTACACATACCTTAGGAATGGTATTACAGAAAATGTTGGTGGTTTTAAAACCTTGACTTTTACAAACCGCAGTATACCTTGAAAATGGTTATCATCCCATACCTACACTGCAGTAAAACTAATTTCTATATTTCTATATTTTTTTATAATTTCTATAAGACATGGCACAGAAAAATAGAATTTAACACAGTGCTTCTAGTTTGGTCTGATGCACACTTCATATTGTATCTCAGCCAGGCAGTGAAGATCGCTGATTTTTAAAGAAATCAGATCTTAAATGCCGTGATTTTATTTATTATTAATTTTATTTATTTATTTTATTTTTTATTTTTTTATAAGATTTCTATTTACCAGAAGTCCTGGAACTGGCTGACTGAAATTTAAAGTCTGTGTGCATGTACTCCATTATCGTTAATGTAGAAACTTCAGTCTCATATACAGTCAAATTTTGTATAGATTTTTTTCATATGATCTAAACAAATATAGCCTTGTAAGGAAGAAGCATTTTGTGTGTATTTTTTAATATCAAAACTGCCTCCTTCACCTCAAATTCACATGTTGACTCTCGCTGAATCTGCCAGCACTTCATCTCCAACCAGTCAGGTTTATCTTGGATGTTTTAAAAGCAAAAAATGGTCCCGCTAGCCAAATGTAGATTTTGTTCAAGGAGTGAACCCAAACAGACAAAAAAAAGTAGTGAGCAGACAAAGGGGGAAGGAATGGGGCTAGAGACCAGTAGGGAATAAGCACATGTTTTTCCTCAAAGGTTTTCAACAATTTGGATTCAGGAAGTGAGAGTCCAGAAGCAAGTGGAAATAAAAAGGTTTTGCAGGGGTCCGCATGAGGGTTCAGGAAATACAAAGAGGAAGCCGGTTGAATTATAAGGAAACCCATTTGAGGCAAAGTGCATTTAAAACAGCGGTTGTGATCTCCATTTAAGATTTAATTCATTGACAAGATTTATGAAAGGCTTCAGAAGCGGAAATCATGTAGACATTAACAGATTTGACTCACCAGTGGTTTCATACATTTCTAATTAGTGAGATTAAATGAATTTAAGGTGGTGTAAAAAAAAAATCTGTAACTTTACTTAAACTAATTAAAAATAGACATGAAATTGCACATTATATAAAAACCAAAGGCATATTGTGACTTTTTAAGGGTCCACGCCATCAACCTTCATGCTATATGTACACATAAGTCCACTTTAGGAACAGTACAGTACACAAGATACATCATCTGCTTTAAGTCACTGCCTTTTTACTGATAAATATTATTATATGTTTGGTATGTCACAGTGACAGTGTATTTGGAGAGAAATGTGGCATTTTTGCAACAACTAAAGTTTCATGTATCATTCAATGCATATTTAGGCCCTCTGTGCTTTCATAACGACCAACCAAAACCTTCATTTTTCTGCACTGAACCCATCCAGTGGTAAGGCAGTTCAGGAACTGGGGCAACTCCATTTTGGTCCAGCCAAGTAACCAGTGGTGAAACCTCTCATGCTTGTAGTGGCCAGGAAAGCTGCTGAAAATTCATCTTCCTTCTGTTCAAACTGGTTATGCCAGTATATAAGCCAACCACGCTGCTGGAGCAACATCTCTGGTATGCTGTAATTAAAAGCTATATTTATATAGTAGAAATTGTGCTGGTTTGTGTTTAATAAGGCATTTGCAGCCAAACCAGCATAGTACCAAATGATTCTCCATAAATTGGTCCAACAAGGCAAGTTGAGCAGGCAATAACATCCTGATGACATCTGCACTGAAGGCCACTTGTGCTCATAAAGGGGTCATCCATGACCGTGCACAGCTGTTTAAAAAAAATGTTTCTTTCAGAGTCAAAATTCTCTCTGTTAAGGCAATGTCGGGTTCAAAGAGACAAGTTCAGGATAGATACTTTAGACCAGTGATCTGTGGAAAACTATAAAAGTCTGCTGTCCGTACAGTTGAGGTGTCTGGAAACTCTCAGTGCATCTAGTTGACTTTAAAGAGGCCGAAATAGTGCTTGCCTGACGTCTGCAGACTGAAGGAAGCTCCGGTGACAGCCTTCAGCTCGGTCCCCTTGTTAAGGCGAAGGAGGCCGGAGACCTGGCATGGCTTCAGGAAGTGAAACCTGTGAGAGCCAGAGGCTGGAGTGGTTCCGTACCCTTCAATGCACTGGAGCAAAGGGCCTTTAGGAATGGACACTTCGAGCTTCACATACTGACTCTGGTTCTCGTTGAAGTGTACCTGGGGGTGGAAACACAGATGGTGCCAAACGGCAGGAGAAAGAGAATGAAACAGGAATGTTATGAGAGACCAATTCAGTGCAGGAGACAGAGCATGAAGGCCTTTAACACAGCGCAAGAGAAAGAAAAGTTATGATTAAACCAGAAGCTCTTTGATTTGGTTTTGGAGGAACCACAGAAAGCGGTAATGGAATTTGATTTGAAACGAGGAATTTACAGTATCTGTCTGTCTATGTATTCATCTGTATAGCATATATTGTTCAGTCTCGATCGTATCTATCATTGTTAAATTGATTTCTTGGAAATTCTGGTTATTTTTATGACACTTAAATTTAATGCAGTTCCACATCCTGTTTTCTAGCTTTAATTGCGGTGATTGCAGACACACTATATACATAGCTATGCTACCACTGTGCCAGAAAAGTCAGCAAAAACAACTTACTTGACAATACACGAAGTAGACGCCGCTACGCTCCACTCTGAAGGTGCCGGTCTCTGAATTGTAGTTCACTGCCCTGCTCATATTCAGCTGCTCCTCAGTCCATCCTTTAATGACTCCTTCGTTTCCAACTGAGACACACACACATTATTAGACAATATTCCTCTGTTCACAAAATGTTCCACATTACGCATGCATACAGTATACTCCCGGAATAACTCACCTTTTTGGAAGGAATCACTGGTTACTGTTGACAAATGAATACATATTAGACTGGGATAGTTCAATAGCAATTTGGGTGTCTGATTGAGAAATGAAATGATCTGCAATGTTGTCTACTTACTCTCAAAATGAGAGGCCACTTTTCGTCCGTTTCCTTTCTTCCCTCCCACTAGCAAGACAAAAACAAAAGAAAAGCATGTTTTGGAAAAAGAGACAGAACTCTGTGCATCTGAAATGCAGATAAGAGTCATCCATGAGGAGCTCCTGCATCTTCCAGCGTTAAACAGCTGTGCAGATGCAAACATCATGGATTAATCAAAAATAATTTATACACCAGCTGAGGTCCTGATTGTCAAAGCAGATGGTGAAATATTTCCTTTCAGCTCTGTTCTACACTTCTCCTAGTCTTTTGTTTTCAGTAACAGGCACTCCGCACAGAATTTTCTGCGTTCACCCCAGCAGCTGGTTCTAGTCAACAACGAGGCAAAAATTAAGAAAAATGAATCGTTGGCTCTTTCCTAACCTTTCTCATGCAGAAAATAATATTCATGTGAAATGAGATAGATTAACAGCTATGGCTACCGTTCAACCGAACGCAATAATTCAAACAAACCACCTTGAGAAATGTGTGGGTTTTGTTTTTTTCTTTGCCCCTCTCCGGAGACTCTCGAGTCTGGCCTCAGGGGAGCTGTCTGAACTCCTGCTAGTCCGTCAAAATGTGCACTGACTGATCACCTACGTTTCAGACTTCAAAAGGAACCTCTCAGAAATGGTTAAACGACTGTTATTTCTGGCTGACCGTTTAAGCTCGAAGCCGTGACTGTCCCCAAGGGGCACTATTCTGGGCTAGGAAAACAGCATATTTTGAGGAATGATTGTGGATAAGCATTTTGGCTCGGAAATCAGACAGCCGTCAGGTGTCAGCTGAAGACTTGCGGCTGCTCATTAGACTTCTGACGGCCCATCTGTTCTTCCCCAATGTTTATTTTGTTGATCTTTTTGGCCGCGGCTTGTTGTTTTTACCCTGTTGGCACTGGTTTTTCCACCGGCCTCGAGATTCCTTATCGCATAATTGCAGAATTATAGTCTATTGGTAATTAAAGCTATTTCAGGCTTCAATGCAGGGGTCACTCTTTTTAGATGCTTGCTAAAACCACTGTACCCTTGCGGTCCTTGTGCCAGTTGGTTTTCGCCGGGTGCGTGTCCATCCAGCTCAAACCTGTAATTTCTGCTGTCATTCAGCCTGCTGCCTACTGTTTCCTGTTGCAGCTTTTGGAAACACATGCCCAATGGTTTACCCAAGGTGCCTTGGTGTCCAAAAACGGTTTGGTCTGTGTAAATATTGCGTGCAACAACCAAAGATTCCTCTGCAGCTGGAAAGACTGCAGGTGATCCAAGGTTTTTTGACAACAGCTGTCGTGTGTCGGTTTTACGCTTGGGGTTTTTCTCCTGCATTTTTAAAATCCCTATGGTTTCATTCGATTTCCGTCAAAGAGCTTGTTTTAATAAATAGTCTGTAAGTAAAGCTGTCATTTCTTCTCCTCTGTGCAATGCATTTCAGTAACTGGCTTTCTGCCTGACATTATGACATATGATGTCCTTCAGTACCATCTCTGCGGAACCTCTGGCTCTCCAACAGTTCGCGTTTTTCCAGGATCAGTTGGAAGATGGCCTTACGCTGCATATTCACCTGAAGGAGAGAGAGAAATAACAAGTGAGAGCAGAAAAAAGAATCCAATTTTTCATCACTCTCAACAGCTTTTGCAGACAGATATGGAAGACAGACGCGACCAGCATGACCGGGCCAGGAATGGAACCTAAATATGTGTGTCAGGATTGAGCAGGCCACTGGAGAGAAACACTGCTGGCTTCTATTAACTGGCGTTTTGCGGGTAACCCATGCAGTAGTCATAGCCTTTTGAAATAATCTGGAGGCGTTCCTGAGCGAGACACAAACAAACAGTCGCCAGAAGCATGGAAAACATTGAAATTGAGTTTTTAATAGGTCAACCACTTCCCCTAAATGCCATTAACAACACCTTGTAGGGTTTTTTACCCCTTGATGCAATACATTCCGGGAATGCTTCTCTGTTAAAAGGAAGCTTTAAATTAAGTGAAAAAGAAAAGGCTGACAAACAATGTGACAAGCATGTGAAAGCTTTGTCAGCAGTTTAACAAATGTCTGGCAACCGAAACTGTGGTTGTGCCCCGAGATGAAGTGAGTACCTATCCATCTGGAGGTTCAGTCTACTCCATGCAAAGTGCACAATAACTGTACTGTGCTACAAAAGACACAGTTAGAGTTGCGTGTGTGTGTGTGTGACCTCAGACAGTGGTTAATAACACTTCTTTAAAAATACTTTTTAGGGGTTAAAAGTTTGGAATGTAGTTATTAAATTATAATTCACAATAGCTCATGCACGTGGAAAAGTGGAAAAACTTTGCACTGCTGCCAACTCTTCATTATAGCACATCACACAGAAATGCAGATCATGCCAGTTCATATTTTTATACAATTTCTGAAAATCTGCCGAAGTCATATTCACTACATTCCAATATGCATAAAGTAGGCTGCTTATAATAGCATGGATTAAAAACCTCACTAATGTTAATTAAGTGTCAAAGAGTTCACAAAAAGTGTTTAGAGAATGAATTTATTTAATACATGTGCTTATGTTTAAAGCAACACCTGCCTATGCGTTTCTTTTTTGACATCTCAGATCCTGATTGGATTGATGTCTTTAAGATGTTTCTGAACAGTGATGGTTCAGTCGGGAGTGGGTCTAGATTTTAATGTAATCTAATTATGTAGTTGAGCATGATCGCCTTACAGCAAGAAGGCCGCTGGTTTGAGCCTAGACGGGGTCAGTTGACATTTCTGTGCGGAGTTTGCATGTTCTCCCTCTTTTGCGTGGGTTTCCTCCAAGTCCAAAGACATGCACTATAGGTGAATTGGGTAAGCTAAATTGTTCGTTTGGTATGTGTGTGAATGAGTGTGTATGGGTGTTTCCCAGTTATGGGTTGCAGCTGAAAAGGCATCCACTGCGTAAAACATATGCTGGATAAGTTGGTGGTTTATTCCACTGTGGTGACACCTGATTAATAAAGGGACGAAGCTGAAAAGAAAATGAATGACTTATGTAGTTATGACAAGGCATGGGCCGGAATAAGATTCTGACAGTATGATAACCGTGGATAAAAATTTTATGGTATCCTATTATGATTACTGCTCTAAAATATGTTCTTTTTAAATTTCTGGGTAAAAAAACAACCTTTTCCCCATTGAACACAATATATTTTATTTTAAGAGACATTTATACTATTTTGGAACAATAGATTTTGTTGCAGAGGCTCCTTTTCTGCGGGAGATACTGTTGCCCTAAAAAATGTTGTAGGTATGGTATAACAGAAAAATTTGGCTGTTTTAAAACTTTGACTTTTCCAAATCGCGCTAAACCTTGAAACTAGTTATTGTCCCATGATGACAAACCAATAACGCTTCTTAAATCACAGATTAAAAAATAAACAAATTAAGATGTAATTGCAACATTACTCACAATTCTGTCATTTTCATATAATTTCAAGTTTTATTTGTGGCATCTGTCAGTTATATATCGCTCAATTTTTACTTTATTTGACAGTTTTGAGAAATTCAGCATTCTTGTGAATCTATGTTTAAAATTTGATGATTCATAATTCTGACTTCCTCAAAATGAGGACTTTATTTATCAATATTGTGAGTTACTATCTTATTATCTTATATTCTGATTCAGACCTTTTTTATTTGTTTGAATTCTCTGAATAACTACGTTTTTAAAGTTATAAGTCTGTTTCTTGCAGTTTTACCAATTTTTTTCTTTCTATTTCTATAATTTCTTTCAATTGTGATTTATGGGATTTCTTGCAGCGAGAAGCTTATTTACAAAATTCTGAGTTAACTTTTTCTCAGAACTTTGATACAAATGAGCAGTTTCAAGTATAAAAACTGAAACTGTGAGAGACGACGTTGCATACTGAAAAGAACTGTGAAATTCAAAACAATCACATAAAAGTCAGATAAAATTGATCTTATTCCATGGTGGAATTAAATGAAATGCTCCCTAATTCTGAAAAACAAATCTCACTGCTCTGGAATGCTTAGGCTTTATTTATTTATTCATTCATTCATTTTCGGCTTAGTCTCTTTATTAATCAGGGGTCACCACAGCGAAATGAACCGCCAACTTATCTAACATATGTTTTACTCAGCGGATGCCCTTCAAGCTGCAACCCAGCACTGGGAAACACCCATACACTCTTGTATTCACACCCACACATACACTTCGGCAAATTAAGCTTATTTAATTCACCTATAGCACATGTCTTTGGACTGTGGGGGGAAACCGGAGCACTCGGAGGAAACCCACGCCAACATGGAGGGAACAAGCATATGCCAAACAGAAAAGCCAATTGACCCAACCAGAGCTCAAACCAATGACCTTCTTGCTGGGAGGCAATAGCGCTATTCAATGCACCGCTGTGTTGCCCGCTTAGGCTTTATATTAAATAAAAGCACAAAAGCGTGGTAGCCTTTCATTTTCAGTCACTAAATGATTACTCCATTTACACAATTTTTTTTAATTACTCGCTATCTGCTCATTCTTAAGAGTTTCCAAACCTTTATGAGTTTCCTTATTCTGGTGAACACAAGATTTTCTAAAGAAAGCTGAAAAGCCACTGACTTTCATAGTAGGAAAAACAAATATAGAAGTCAATAGTTACCAGTTTTCACCATTCTTCAGAATATCTTCTTTTTTTATTGATCAGAACAAAAATTTGTAAAGGTCTAAAAACAAATAAAAAGTGAGTAAATTATGACTTTTTTGGTGTGAACTAGCAAATTACTTTAAGAGGTTCATCCAGTTCTTGAACTCCATAATAGGTGCCAGTTCGATTCACCAAAAACAAAATCATACACAAAAATCATTTGTGCGTTTATAAGTGTATTATTTGAACACTTAAAAAAGAATCGGATCATAAGAGTCATTCGTTCGGCAGTCGTTCTACACACGCAGCATAGTTTGATTCCCTAAAAAGAACCGGATCATAAGAGTCATTAATTCTGGAGTCGCGCAGTGGTTGCTGTGTGTGTTTCGTGCTGTGTTCAGTAGCGGTGTTTGGAAGAGTTGTGTGTGATTCATGAGCCTTCACTTCAGCGCGCTGTTCCGTCCACATCGGCGGAAGAAATAAGCCACTTCTGTTCCAGTAATTAAAACAATACTGACATTCATGACAACACACACTTCTGACAGTGCAACCCATCTGTGCTTGAGGGCAGGCTATAAGACTCTAATAGTAGCTTACGAGTTGCAAATCATTTCACCATAATTACACAATTGCTTTACGAGACGCGATGCTTAAAAGGCAATGTCAGCTGGCTCCGAGACGCGCGCGTGCCAAGTACTCCAAGATTTCCAGTAAATTGCCCTAAACACGGAGCAAAACTGGCAACAAAATCATCACACTTGGCAGCGACTTTAGAAACTAAATAGGCCATAACTCACAGCACCCCGCGCGCAAAGTCTGGAAGGGTCATAAAAACGCGTCCCGCAGACCCCCAGCGGTGCCGCAGCTGTATGTTTGTATAATCAAGTGCCTCGATACAATTACATTCCTCGTGATATAGTGTGTAGAATACCTCACCCCCGAAAAAGCTTGCAAAGTGCTCTCACTGTCAGCACCACAAGATCGTGCATGGCAGAATATTAAAATAAAGACAATGCGAAAAATAATTGCATGATGGTGATTAGTGAGTGTGCAAGAACGCATGCATGCATCGAAAGACAAACCCCAAAGCGATCGCGTTTACCTGCTCCAAGCGCTCCTGCAGAGTTTGGAAAGACCTCGACAGGTCCCGCGTTTGTCGCAGCGTCCACACTGTAAATATGGCACTGCACACGGCCAGAGACAGCGCGAGCACGGCCATCAGCGACCAGACCCAGCGCAGCGTGCGGATCCGTCTCCTCTGGAAAATTCGCTGCATTGTTGCGCACGCGGGTCGTTCACCGTTCTGGAGCTTCCACGTCAATCATTGTGTCCGTAATCCACGAGAACATCCCTGAGCCTCTCCGGTAGGTCCCGTGCGCGAGCGCTTCTCCAAGTCAGAGCGCAAATGCAGCACTTGCAAGACTGACCCCAGCAAGTCGGCCAGTGCTTTTGGTATATGGAGACGTGTTTATTGCGTGGACCGCGTCTGGCACAGATGGCATAGCAGTATTCTGTTCATTCTTGCTCTGAGTGTTGTCAGTAGCCCAGTAGGGATTTGCATTTTATTTACGTCTTCCAGGGAGCTGAATCTCTGGCATGACCTGCTCGTGTTCTCACTGATAGATAGATGATGGTCTAGTCCACGAGAGGTGTCATTTCAAAGCACTCCTGCGTCCATGCGCTCAAGTATGCACTGCAGGGAAGTGAGTCCTGCACAGCAGTGGAAAACAGATTTCCTCCCCCCTCCCTCGTGCGCTGCCAAGTATTCTTATTCTGTAGTGAAATAGGATTGAGCTCCGTCCTGCCTCAGATCAACAAGTGCGCGTCTTTTATATGCTTGGTTGAACTGGTTGTTCTCTACGGTTTTTTACAGTGTGTGGCCGTGCACTAATGAAGCAAAGAGTGCTGATTATTGTTACCACAATGTACATACCAAGGGATGCTTTAGTTTTAAAGGGAATTGGAATGAAACCTTTCTGGATGAAAGATAATAGCTGAGATTTTGAGGATGTTAATAGTGTACAGAACCAGAGAAGTATAAAGAACATTAATATGGTAAATATTATACCAGGCTCTATTTATTTAGCAATATACAATTTGGGGATATACTATGGAACTGTTGGGGAGTGTGGTCCATGGAAAAATTTGGAGGAAATTGAAAATAACTTAATTAATAAACAGACAAATAAATATAATTCCAATTAAATAATTGTCACTAAACAAGTGTTAATAATTAAAATTAAATCGGATAATAATCCAAAAGTTCTAATATTAAAATAATAGCTAAATGGGATTTAAATAAGATGCAAAAAATAAAAATAAATAAAATAAATGCAAATAACCCTTTGTAGGGCACCCATTAAAACTTTAGGTACACCTCGAGTTAAACCCCTTTTGCCTTCAGAACTGCCTTAATCCTTCATGGTATAGATTCAACAAGGTACTGGAAATATTTTTGAGATTTTGGTCCATATTGACATGATAGCATCACACAATTGCTGAAGATTTGTCAGCTGCATATCCATAATGCGAATCTCTCATCCCACCACATCCTAAATAGTTGTGGAGGCCATCTGAGTACAGTGAACTCATTGTCATGTTCAAGAAACCAGTCTGAGATGGTTCACGCTTTATGACATGGCGCGTTATCCTGCTGGAAATAGCCATCAAAGGATTGTTGATGAGTATTGTTGAGTTTTGATGAGTATATGAGTATACTCAGTTAGGCTGTGGCGTTGACATGATGTTCAATTGCTCCTAATGGACCCAAAGTGTGCTTAGAAAATATCCCCCACACCAATACACCACCTTTACCACCAGCCTGAAGCGTTGATATAAGGCAGGATGGATCCATGTTTTCATGTTGTTTATGCCAAATTCTGACCCTACCATCCGAATGTCGCAGCAGAAATCGAGACTCATCAGACCAGGCAATGTTTCTTCAATCTTATATTGTCCAATTTTGGTGAGCCTGTGTGAATTGCGTTTCCTGTTCTTAACTGACAGGAGTGGCACCCGGTGTGGTCTACTGCTGCTGTAGCTCATCTGCCTCAAGGTTGGATGTGTTGTGCATTCAGAGATGCTCTTCTGCACACCTCGGTTGTAACAAGTTATTTGAGTTACTGTTGCCTTTTTATCATCTCAAACCAGTCTGGCCCTTCTGACCTCTTGCATCAACAAGAAATTTGCGTCCAATTTGCACTCATTGCTATTTTTTTCTTTTTCTGACTATTCTCTGTAAACCCTAGAAATGGTTGTGCTTGAAAATCCCACTAGATCAGCAGTTTCTGAAATACTCAGAGCAGCCTGTCCAGCTGTAACAACCATGATATGTTCAAAGTCACTTAAATCATCTTTATTCTCCATTCTGATGCTCAGTTTGAACTGCAGCAGATCATCTTGACCATGTCTAAATGCATAAATGCATTGAGTTGCTGCCGTGTGATTGGCTGATTAGAAATTTAGTTTTAGAGTTAATATTATAATACAATGTTATTACTGAAATACATAATATACATTACTATTCTATATTGTATAAGAGTTAAAGCAAACAAATAAATACAAATCAGAATAAAGAATTCCACGGCGGAATGAACCACCAGCTTATCCAGCATATGTTTTAGGCAGCAGATGCCCTTCCAGCTGCAATCCATCACTGGGAAACACCCATACACTCTCATTCATTCACACTCATACACTATGGCCAATTTAGCATACCTAATTCACCTGTACCGCATGTCTTTAGACTGTGGGGGAAACCTGAGCACTGTAAGGAAACCCACACTAACAAGGGGAGAACATGCAATCTCCACACAGAAATGCCAACTGACCCACCCGAGGTTCGAACCAGTGACTTTTTTAGCTGTGAGGTGACATCGCTCCCGACTACGTCGTCAAGTTATAATTTAGGTTACTTAAATTTAGGAACTAATATAAATACAGGAACTAAGTATTTTAACCTATTAAAAATATAGTGTAAAAATTGGGTCATGCAAGAAATATTATTTAATAAATTATTTATTATTAAGAAACAAAATACATTAAAAGATTATTATTTATATTTATGCATTTCTGCCAGGTAACCTCAATCAGTTCATAATGTCATAGAAGCCATGTAAACTTTTTAGAGGCCTTCAGAAGGAACTGTGTGTGTTATTTTAAACAGCTGTGATTAAAATAACCTGCATTATCTTTAAATGACATGTAAATGTTTGCTTGAGCGAGGTTTTATCTGTTAATCCCAAGTCTAATATTTCCTTTAGTCTATCTCTGGAACCTGTTGTCATTTTTATCTCCTCTGTGGTCTATAAAATTTCAAATAGTGCAGACGAATAATTGCCTATTCCTTTCCTACCATAAATATTGTGGAGAAGTGTGTAGTTCTGCTCTTCCCACTCCCATGACAGCTAAACAACAGGATGGTTTCCTGGCAAGGACTTTGATTATTATGAGTCAGAAAATGAGCAAATCAGAGCCTGAGTCTGATTTATGGTGTTTTTCCCTCATTGGGTTTGCTTATGAAACTTTGTCCTGCCAATCAGCTAAGGTTTTAATGGATTAAATGAAACAACATATGTACACCGCGGTTGTCTCAGTTGTTATTAACATCGAAATATTGTTTGAATTCCTCAGTGAAGTACTCTGGAGAAAGTCCTAAATGTGGGATATCGTTAATCAGTTTTCTGGGCGAACACTTGATGTCGCTGTTGTTTAAGTTTTGGCAACTGCGACGTGCTTCTTTTGTTCCCACAGCTGGGAAATGGAGTAATCTGCTGGCCAAATGTGAATTTCACTTCCAACTACACTTTATTCTGTGGTCACTGATGCAGAAGGGAGCTTTGATGGCATTAATTATGTTTATTTTAGAATTAGATGTGCATAGTTTTGTTCAACACTAATCTACATCACATAGCATTAAAGGCTTGGGCAAGTGAAAACACATGCTGCAAAAACGGCGTAAATCTATTTTTATTGATGACCAATAGGACAGAGGAAACATCAGAATCCACAGTACATTGGATACAGCAGCTTGTAACAATGTCACTTTTGCTCGTCGTCTTCACTATGGGGCTACACAGTTTTATTTTTAAGTGCTAGAAAATAACAGTACCATTTTAATAAGTCATAGAATATTACAAGTTACAGGTAACTAAAATAATAGACTGAGGTACTTGCATGTCTTTCGTGTTCAAGATGTATTTACTTACAGCTCAGTATTTTGTTCTAAAATAAGTTTTGGCAATAAACATAAAACAATAGTAAATACAAAAACAGTGAAATTCCAGTAAGAAAACAGTGAATTATTGATTAGGCCAGAATCACAATTGTAAAGGGTGTAAGGAATCAGTATCACTTGAAATTATAAGGAATTTGCATGTTTCGAGGCAACATTACAAGCAGCTTCTGCTGGTTGTGGTTCTCAGCTCATTTTGCCTAAAAAATAGGTCACCCAAATATGAAAATTTACTCGCCTTCCAGCAGTCCAACATGAAGATGACTTCTTCAGTGAAACATAATGTTTTTTAGCTGACACCATTGTCCATGGTGTTTTACATATGCAAGTTATCAGTAATTTGAAACTCAAAAAAGCACTTATAAGCAAACAGAAAAATGAATTTACATGTAAGCCTGATTTTGTTTTTTGTTTTTTACTGTGAGTGCAGAGCACTTGAGAGATGTTTTTAGGTCATTGTAACTTATTAAACTAAGCTAATCATGTTCTAGCTTGATTTTATAAGTTATGAAAGCTGTTTTAAGTCAGTTTAGCATAATATAAGTTCAATGGACTCATAAGGTTAATTTGATTCATCTTAAAATTTAAAGCAACCAGGATTTTTTTACAGTGCAGGAAACCCTCACTTGGCCTAAATTTGCACTGCATGAGCATGCCCTTTTCATGACCTTTTCCAGATTGATTGAGATTCCTTTATCTGGACTTATTTTTCCAGAATATTCTTGCAAGCTTTTGTATTATCACTGTTTTGAATTGTACATAAACTGGTAGACTATCACTTTGGCACTTTTATAGCACACCTTTATTTTTGGACTTTAGGAAACACTTTATTTTAATGCTCCATTTAAGTATTAGTAGACGTCTGCTTTATATCTGCTGATACTGCTCCTTCAACAGACATTTAACTGACTACTGTATAAGAAACTTTGCAGGTACATGTCAGTTTACATCAACCCCAACCCTAACCTAACCATCTACTTGTAATCTAATGAGAATTAGTTGGCATGTAGATGCAATGTAACTTAAATTCAACAAATGGCCCATGATAAAGAAAGTGTGACAACTATATGCTTTCATTAGACTGATCTTGTTTAAATTTAGTTTTAAAGCCCAGTGAATGTTAGTGAATACACCTTTCCTACCACAGTTATTTGGTATTGGTCTTTTAACACTTACAAACCTCTTACACATCTAAAATCTGAGCTCTTTTAAACTGTGTTACCTGCTGAATGTTACATACATCTGGTCCTTGTCATCAACAAAGCTATAGAAGCTGAAATGTCATTATGTGTCATTATGTGTATAATGACTGACCAACTATTCCAGCATATTCCAGCCACAACCCAGTACTGGGGAACACCCATACGCTCTCACGTTCACTCACACACACACACACACACACATACACTATGACCAATTTCGTTTATTAAATTTACCTATAGCACATGTCTTTGGACTGTGGGCGAACCGGAGCACCCAGAGGAAACCAACGCGAATATGGCGAGAACATGCAAACTCCACACAGAAAAGCCAACTGACCCAGACTTGAACCAGCAACCTTCTTGCTGTGAGGTGATAATGCTAACCACTGAGCCACCATGCCACCCAGCCTAGTATCTTGTCAGAGGCAAATAACAACATAAAGGCACATGTTTTTCAACAAATACTAAATTTTATTAGTATATGACATAAGTGACCAGTAGAAATGTATGTCATGTCCTCCACCGATTAGATTTTTAAATCTAAAAGTGCTGATAGTAGATGCCATTTTTTTATGAATGGCTAAGAACTATAGGTTTCAGCTAAAATGTTCTACTGCAAATTAGTCACATATCTAGAGTAAATTAAAAGCAAATTTGAACTTTTCAATATTTTATTCAAAATGTTTTGTTTTTTTAAATGTGCCCATTTTTCAGCTTACGGCCTTCCTGTGCATATCTAGCCATGTGTAACTTAGTAACCTACAGTAGTTGAGAGTGGAACCAATGTTCTTGATCGTTCAAAGCTCTCCCTGTGCCAAGTGTTGAAGAGCTTCACCCTCACAGCGCATGCAGTGATAGCCGAGTTCAGAGGTCACGTCCCAGCAGCCCTGCTTCAGGTAGAAGTCCAGAGATGACTTATTCCAGTCCAGCACAGTGAAGTTGAGCTGAGTGCAACCAGCAGCCAGACCAAGCTGAGAGGAGCACGATCACAAACATGTCAGATTTACACATAGTCAACACAGCAGGGTAAATAAAAGTTTGTGATTCTTTGCTTATTTATTATGCAACAATTTTCTAGCACAGATAAAAATCATTTACCTGTGAAACTTTGGTCATCAGAGCCTTGCCAATGCCCTTGCCTGGAAATGCTCAAAGAAAATTGCTAAGCAGTCTGAGTTTATGGATTATTTAAAAACTTAAAATTAAACAAAATTATACAGTTTTGTATTTTTTTACCTCTGAACTCTGCCATCACATACAGATCCACCATGTACACTGCTCGACCTTTCCACGTGTTGTACATGTAGAAGTACAGAGAGTAACCGATCTTGGTATGACCTTGGTATGAAGTCACGCAAATAATTTCTGTCAGTTTAATAGCAAAAAATAACTTGCATATGATTTGCATGTATGAGGAGCACATGTAGAACACATTTTGAAAAATGTTAGAATCCTGTGACCATTGACTTCCATTGTAGGAAAACTACAGTGGCCAAAAGAGCTTAACGTGCTGCAATTTAACAAAACACGTGCAATTACAAAAAACGGCAGCAAGTTAAGAAAAGATCTTTCAGTTTGACAGCACACATGCAGCAAATCCACACTTTGCAAACGCATAAAAAAATGCTGCATTTTCCCGCAATGCAAACGATTAATAAAACGCACTGCATTTTCTTACAACGCAAAGGAAATGGTTCAAGGAGACCCTAAAACGTGACGGATTAAGGTATTTAGGTTATAGTTATTTAGGCTAATACATACTAAAGACAAGGGAATCAGGATGTTAAAATAAACAAACATAAAACTCACCTTAGATCACATGCAACTTCACTAAGAAAATAGTCAGAGCACAGCAGCGTCCATCACGTTTTTCACAACATTACAGTTGTGTTCAGTTCTCTGCATTGTGAGAAAATGCAGCACGTTTTATTAATGTTTGTGTTGTGGGAAAATGCAGGGCAGTTTTTATTATTTTTTTATGTGTATGAATCATGAGAATTTGCAGCACATGTGCTGTCAAACAGACGAAGATCTTTTCCTAATATGCTGGTGTTTTTTGTAATTGCATGTGGTTTCTTAAATTGCAGCACATTAAGCTCTTTCGGTCACCGTAGAAAACAAACACTATATGGAAGTCAATGTTTACAGCTTTTCAACAATTTTCAAAATGTCTTCTTTTGTGCTTAACAAAAAAGAGAGGGTACAACAGTTTTTAATCTGCTTTAGTAATAATAATGAAAAATATAGTTAATTATGTTTTTACTCTCACCCTCTCTGGACTTTAAGTGTTCTGGTACTTCAGCAATAATTCCATGGAAAAAAGGGTTTTTGGAAAATCCATCCTGCTCCAGATCTATAGTAATAGAAGTACAGTTGATTATAGATCCAAATTCTTATTATAGAAACCCACAGTATGAATTGCTCCATGCAAATCATTGTAATTTTAGTGGAGAAGGGAAACAATCAGCCTTACCTCTTTGTGTGATCTTGACATGGTCAGAAACTTTCTCAAACTCTGCCAATTCCTATAGTTAAACAATTTAAACAGTTCAACACAATTGCTTAATTCTGCCATGCTATGGTGACATTTTCTTTTCCTTTTTTTTTTTTTTGATTTTGAGCACTTGTCACAATAATGTCATGAGATGAGAAATCATAGAGGAATAAAATTTCTCTTCATCTTTATGCATATACAAGGTTACTGCACAATAATAAACTTTGTATTTTGTTTCAGTATGATGTAATAGTATGACAAAAGACACTAACGTTTTTTTTTTTTATCATGTATTGCAATTGCTTTACTTGTTACATGTTTGGTATATGCTGAGTAATATGTTCTTATCTCAAGTGAACCATTTAGTTTTACAGTTCATTACAGCAGTGTCCACTTTTTTATTTCAAAATACAAAACTGTTACCCAATGAGTAGGGCGTACATTAAATTAATTGAGAAATTACGACTGATTAGAATATAGAATAATTAGAATTAGAATAAAATATTTGCCCCTCTCCTTTGCGACAGAGATTCAGAATGCACAGCAGTCACAGCTGACAGGTAAAGGCTACTGAATGAAAATTAAACTATATAATTTACACTTGTCATTTCCAGCTACAGTTTTATGGATTATACATATGATTGTAAATGCTTTATAAGTTGCAAAATTAATTTAAACTGAATTACCCAAATTGATGTGTGTAACGTACATCATCCCTAATGATAATTTTATTATTATATGAATGATAATTAATCCCTAATTGTATTCAAACATTTAGAAAAGTAGGATTGCATTTTCACGGGACCATGGGATGCATTTCAAAATAGGTGTATCAAAAATGTATTGCAAAATTCTGATTTAAATGTCTTTTCAGTATTGACATTCACACTTTTGATGTTTGAGCAATCCATTTTCTATAAATACATTTTGATCAATAATTTGATGTGGTTACAATAAGTTAATATGATTTTGAAAAAGCATTATTGTGATGGCTGTTTCACAAACAAATAATTCTATTGAACTGAGTCTTCTCAGTAAACTGTTTGAATCAGTCTTCTTGCATGCATGACCAGGCTGCCTGCCTCACAGAACTGGTAACTCTATCTCAAAACAGGTCCCATTTTTAAAAAGAGTTCCACATGCAGTAAGTACAGTATATAATACAAGCTTGGATAGACCTAAAAATAAGGGAAAATTATCATTGTTTCAATCCAACTAGGAAATGGCTGACACTTATTATTGAATTACTAACTTTTAGACCGAGATTTACTTCACCTCAGTTTACTTAAATGATCATTATTCCTTCATTTCATAAAATTACCCTTTTCTTGGTCCTGATTCTCTTTATTGAGAACCAAAGGGCTTTGGTTTTTTGGCATGGTTTCATATGGCAGGGCAGGCAAATGTCTGGGGCCTCAGGCCAGAAGGGGCCCAGGGGGCTGACCAATTTTAAATCACTAAATTATTGACAAGTTTCCTGGCAAAATGGTAGATTTCCTAATGCCGAGTTCAGACTGCACCATTTTCTAAATAGCTGTGTCACAGATGTTTTCACACTACATTACTATCTTGGGTAGCATTTTGTTGCTGTTGTGTTTATACCAATGACTGTAAAAAATATGGACGACGCGACAGCCCTTTTTCCCATTGAACGCCTTGAGGGCAAAACGCCTGCTTGACGGGCACAAACTGTCGCAAAAGACTGCTGAAATTGGAGCCAGACATGCGCAGAAGGATTGTCTGATGGAGCCAGAGGAGGAGCCGCGAAAATGAGCAGAGTCGAGCTTCCAACCAAACGCTTCATGTAAAATCAACTACGCCCCCCGAACTTCTCAGCATGCGTTTGCTGTCATATCAACACAAATGGATGTAATAACGTTAACAAATATGAGGGTTTTATATATTTAATCGCGCCAGCTCCGGGCTGCAGCGCATAACTTACTCGCGGCGTCGCGGGCTGATTCCGGCTCGCATGCGGCAGCGCCGGCTCGCTCGGCCGCCGCATCTGGCTCGATTGACTCGGACTGGAATCGGGCAGTGAGTCCAGGCATCCGGAGTAGGTCCAGCAGAGGTAACATTAGTCAGTCTGAGCTCTAAGAGATAAGTCTCCGGCAGGCGAGAATCTAGCCGGAACTGTGTTTTGCTATTTGGGTGGCTAGGCGTGTATCAGCAAACTAATAAAGCCCGAAAAAAGCCCTGAACTTAGCGAATAAACAGTGTTCCACCAGGATCATGTATGTCAGAAACTATAGTTTACTGCTGAACTCATTTTGTCATGGTAAAATAACACAGAAATCGAATAATAACATTTCAGTCTACTTCAGTCTCCTGCCGAAGCTCAGACGCCGCGCTTTGAGAAACTGTCAATCACAGCTGTCAATCACGATGACACGCCCAGCATTAAATTACTGCTAAAAACAAACTGTTTACAAAAATGAAGATCTGCACCTATTTCAGCACAATAACCAGTGCCTTAATCGACCACGACTATCTTTCGGGACATTTTATTGCAAGTGTAATATTTTTTTTTATTTGGGCTCAAGTCTCCTTCATTAACACGGAGGAGGCGGGCTTTATGACTTGTACTGCAGCCAGCCCCCAGGGGGCGATCTAACGGCCGAAACCTTCACTCAAACGTAGGCTTGCGGCACACTTGGTTTATACTCTAAGACTACACTGGATCGACGACAGGGAATTTCACACTTCATGACTTTGTAATAGGAACAACAAATTTTTCCTCAGTTTTTTTGGGTCTAAATAGACTAAAAATAAGCCCTTTTAACTTTTCCCCCAACCTCCTGCTGGCCTGCAGATACCTATACTAGTGGATGCTGCTCTCTCATTGGCTGTAGGTGATCACATTTCAAACCCTTGCTTTAGCTCTGATAAAAGTTGTTTTTTATTATTAGTAAAATAACGCAGCGTTTGGATGCTTTCATTAATCTCAAGTCATCAGTCAACAGTTGTTGCTCTAATGTTTATAATCCATATAAAATGTGAAGCGGATTGGTTATTTACCTTGTCACATGATTTAAGGTGTGCTTACAGCATTTTGAACTTGAATGTTTTCAAGGTGCATCTGCAAAAAGCAAGCGCTTAATTTTTCTTTAGATATCAAATCAAAGCTGTATCCAGTCTAGCCAGTCTTAACTGTCAAGCAAAAATGCTCAATTAATATGGTGTCTGGATATTATATTTTCAATGTGTCGTGTAGACTTTGTTGTGGTTTTAGGATAAGAAAAATGAGTGAACCTTTTATTAGTCCACTCTAGCAATATACATGTTGCATTTTACTCCATAAATTAAATGCTTAAGAGCCATAATACACGCATCGGCACATAGTTTAATCGTCTGTATTGGAATTGTTAAATCATATTGCCCTCGTGAAATCAAATAAAAAAGGAAAAAAATGAATGGTACAAGCTAGGCTGAAGGACATTCAAAAATTGCATATACTGTATGTCAATGGATAATGGTGATTATACAAAATGCATGTAGCAATATATATATATATATATATATATATATATATATATATATATATATATATATATATTCAAAAACAAAAAATATACAATAACAAAAAGACTTAATAAATATAAAGTCTTTTATCTTTCTGGCAGTGAAAAATTCTAAATTGATATTGTATATAAAGAAATAGGCTATATTGCAAACATTAGCTGGCTATTTATTATCATAGCAAGAAAACTAATTTTGGATTTGAACAACCAGCAATAGCTTTACAATCTTTATATTGTACAACAACAGTGTTTTATTTAGCTGGTTTAGACCAAACTTTTGCCTTTTGTGTAAAATAACTTTATTGGATCTGTATTTGATACATATATCTGATACAGATAAATAAATATATATATATTTGATGTATATCTGATACAGATCAGATTAAAATTTTTAATAAATTGTTCAATTTTCTAGCAGATTTTTGTAGAATAAAGCCCTTCAGTTTTATCCAAAAACATTGGTATGATGTACAGCAAATAAAATTGATCATGTGTGTTTTAAATTTAAAAAAAAAAAAAAAAAAAATCAAGCACTGACAATAATTTGTCATAATGCTTGAACAGAGGGGTCCCCAGATAAAATTATGCTTAATTTTGGGACTCCCAGAGATTGGTGGTGCCCGATTTGCTAACTTTGCATGTACAACGGGTCAGTCCTGCATACCACTGTATTATGAACATGCAATCCAATGCATTTTCAAATAATTTTTAAAAGATAATTTTGCTATCATTTCTGCTTGTGCGTTACATCAATACACTTAGGGTAATACATTTCTAATTTATTTTTCATTTAATGACACAGTTGATTAGTGTTTTTATTTTTCTAAAAGTTTTTAAATAGTATGATCAACTCACCAGTATCATCCGAGAAATGTCCTTACAATCCTCAAAGGTGGCGGCCCGGATTGTGAAATCCATCTTGCAGTTAACAATAAGAACACACAGTGTGGAGCAAAACCTGAGTATTCTAATGTCAACGTGGACTATAATGAAATGGAAAAATACAGAAGAGATGTATTTATATTGCTTTGACACTCACACCATGCCAAGTAAAGATGAAACTGCTGAAACAGCGCCATCTGTAGTTTCTGATATGATTATGCAAACAGTTAAATATACCCTCTGTAAAGGACTCTGGACCATTCTGAGCTATACCGTCTCGCTGTTGACAGTACACTTCACTGTGCAAAAAGCATCTTTACATCTTTAGGCTTGTAAATTGACATACACCCAGTGTTTAATTAGGCTAATTGAAGTGTTGTTTTGCAAAGCTTAATCTTGTCATTATACTAATAGTTGTTATCGGCTTTGGTGTCTATTTAAACGAAAGGTTTTTGATCGGAAGTTTGGTGGCAGAACAGTCAATTAAATGAGACACCTCTGTGGACCCAGCTAATCCAAATGATATGTTAATATTAGTGCAATAATTCCAAAATTTGTCCAATAATAAAGATATTGATGATAATGATGATAATATTAATAATACTAATTTAAATACAACAAATTTTTTACATTTAATTATAAATGTGCTGAGTGTGCTGTCGCATATGAATCACATTCTGGGTTTCTACAAAAAAGACTCCCAATTGGTAATTAAGAAAAATAAAACAATGATTTACATAAAAAAAAAAAAAAAAAAGTTCTGCCGTTCTCTGTAGTCAATGACCTGGGCAGTAAACATACGCGATTGTTTTTGAGAAAGTGCATGTTAATGCACAACATTAGAAAATTTTAATGCACAGTGTCAACTTGCACTGATTTAAATGTAGGTTAACTGTAATTAACTTGTTTATCAGTGACACGGTAACTTAAACATTAAAAAAGCAGGTGAGTCTGACCGCCCAATAAATGAGTGACAGAGTGAAATTCAGATACATCTAGACACAGACAGGAAGGTTGTCTGGGCACAAAATCATGATTTTTGGAGATGGATATAAAAAAAGAAAGAATGTTCAATGTTCTTTACCACCGTCTTTACTTGATTAAAATATTTTAATTTAAAAACAATAATGTTCTTGCATTGATTTCGACAGCAAAATTGCAGATTAAGCACAATTACTAACCGAATGATCCTCCATATATATATATATATATATGCATACACACACACACAGCTGAAGTCAGAATTTTTATCCCCCTTTTGATTATTATTATTTATATATATATATATATATATATATATATATATATATATATATATATATATATATATATATATATATATATATATATTTCCCAAATGATGTTTAACAGAGCAAGGAAATTTTCACTGTATGTCTGATAATCTTTTTTCTTCGGCTAAAATTTTTTAAAAAACAATTTTGGGACAAAATTATTAGCCCCTTTAAGCAATTCTTTTTTCCGATAGTCTACAGAACAAATCATCGTTATACAATAACTTGCCTAATTCCTAATTTCCCTAACCTACCTAGTTCACTTTATTAGCCTAGTTAAGCCTTTAAATTTCAATTTAATCTGTACAGAAGTGTCTTGAAAAATATCAAGTAAAATATTATTTACTGTCATCATGACAAAGATGAGTAAATCAGTTATTAGAAATAGGTTTCTATAACTATTATGTTTAGAAATGTGCTGAAACAATCTTCCCTCCATTAAACAGAAATCGGGGGAAAAAATAATCAGGGGCGCTAATAAGTCAGGGGGGCTAATAATTCTAATATAATACTCACAGATTCAACTGTAATATATACAGCTGGACAAAAGCAGATCGATCTAAATAAAAAAAAATGCATATTTAGGAACCAAAGCATTCAGTTAGATTTTTTTTTTATTTTTTACAATTATTTTTTTTGAAGGAAATTATGGATCTTGTAGGCTATGTTTGTGTAATAGACTCTTGACAGTTTTGCAATTTAAACAATAGATTCTTTAACATACATTTTTACACATTTTGTTTTAAAAAAATTAAATTACTCATTATGACAATTTATTACAAGTTGTTAAAATGCCTTTTTTCAGGAAATAATGACATCATGCAATGAAATAAAGCACAACATACTGAAGTTTATAGTCAATGTAACAAACATTGTGTGAATAAGACATATTAATCATATTTTACATTTCTGGAGTTTTTGTTATTGGGTTTGCACTATTCTATGGTCACTGATGCAGAAGGGAGCTTTGATGGCATTAATTATGTTTATTTTAGAATTAGATGTGCATAGTTTTGTTCAACACTAATCTACATCACATAGCATTAAAGGCTTGGGCAAGTGAAAACACATGCTGCAAAAACGGCGTAAATCTACTTTTATTGATGACCAATAGGACAGAGGAAACGTCAGAATCCACAGTACATTGGATACAGCAGCTTGTAACAATGTCACTTTTGCTCATCGTCTTCACTATGAGGCTACACAGTGTATTTTAAAGTGCTAGAAAATAACAGTACCATTTTATTAGGTCATAGAATATTACAAGTTACAGGTAACTAAAATGATAGACTGAGGTACTTGCATGTCTTTCGTGTTCAAGATGTATTTAGTAACAGCACAATATTTAGTTCCAAAATAATTTTTGCCAATAAACCTAAAACATCAGCTTGCTAAAACTGTGCAAAAAGGCGAAATGCACAAAAAAAAAGCAAAGTAAGAAATTCAGAAAAGCAAAATCCAAACATGGTTCCAATAACAGGTTCCCCTTCGGGGGGAACTCCAGCACTATAAGTGGATTTGATGTTCTAAATCCACGTATGGGAGATTCGGTTCAGAAGCTTCTCGTCTGAAAGAGTATTGAACCGGCCAATTAAGAATGAATTGGCAGCGCAAGCCTGCGCAGGTGTGCAGCATATGCAATCAACTGAGTATATAAGCACACCTGGCAACAGCAGACGCTATCCTTTTCGCTTCAGAGACTTTTCTGATCGAGCTTCAAGAGGGTTCCTCCTGCTGTCTACAGCCACTTCGAGCGAACGAGTGCCTCTCGCTCCTCCAAGCGCTCCATCCAAGCTTCGGGCGCTGGGAGTGATCCTTCTAATCAGATGGTAGCTCTCACGCTCGCTGACACCGGAGATCAGATGTCCTCCGCGGCATCGGAGGGTGGGCTTTCATTGTCCGACGATGATCCGGACCCGCTCGCCCCCTTCGGGCAGGTGAGCGCTGTCAAAACGGATACTGAAACGGACGTGTTAGCCGTGCTTTCTCGGGCTGCTTCAGCCGTGGGTTGGAGATGGTTTATCCCCCAGCTCCGCGGCCAGACCAACTAGAGGGGCCCTTCTTCCCGGCGACGCACAGTAGGCTCACGCGGTCTTAAAGAGCACCTTTTTTCTGCTCGTGCTGCGTGTCCCTCCACCCTCACCACTCTTGGTGGTGGAGCGGCCAGGGGGTATGTGGCGATTCCTCAGGTTGAGTGTGCGATGGCAGTTAATCCGCGCAGGGCCTCTTCTTGGCGGGGTCTGCCTCATCTCCCATCCAAAGCCTGTGAGTTTTCGGCTCCCTCGGAGCTAGAGCTTACAAAGCTACGGATCAGGCTGTATCCGCCTTGCATGCGATAGCCACCAACCAGCGCTACCAAGCGCAGGCGCTGGCCGAGCTGCACGAGGGTGGGTCCAACCCAGGCTTATGAGCTTCGCACCGCAGCCGACTAAGCTCTTCGGACTACTAAGTCCGCTGCGTGTGCTTTGGGGAGGACGATGTCCACACTAGTGGTCCAGGAGCCCCACCTCTAACAAAACTTGGTTGATATGCGCGAAGTTGACAAAGTCCGCTTTCTTGACTCGCCCATATCCCAAGCCGGTCGGCGACACAGTCTGCAAATTCACCCAGGAATTCGAGGCAGTGAGAGAGCAGTCTGATGGGTGATGTCTAATCGGCGGCCCCGTAAGCCCGCTCCGCCCGCCGTGCCATCCATACCTGCTCCTCGCCGAAGGTTTGACAAAGAAATGCTCGTCACTGTGTCTCCGGACAAATCAGACATGATACATTGATGCATTGTCCCTCCTTCATGCCCAGATTGGTTCAAACTCGCTATATCACAACCAATAAGCATAGGTTTCGCTTTTGTTTGTGGACCAAGCTTTTTGAACAACACGGAATGAGAGAAAGGCATACATTTATGCGCGGCTAAATAAAACGCAAAAAAAAAAGTTTTGCATGAAATAATTCTCATACTAAGTACTTTTGCATGCACAGCAGCACAGAAACATGACAAAACAGTGACACAGCAAAGACGAACTGCTGCTCTTGCTGTTTTCAAAAGACGCAAATGAAGATGCAGCTGTTTGTCTGCATTGCATACAACCACATCCAAATCCATGCTGGCACATAGAACCTAAGGATGTTCCATATTGAATCTAGTTTCGTTATGTAACTATTTATAGTATAGTAAATATTTATATCTATTTTTTACTGAGGATTTGCACCATGTTTATTTGGACTTTATTTGGACTTTGACACATTATTTATTATTTTCTTATTTTTATTTGTTCATTGTAAGTGGTTGTTTATAGTAACTAAAAATATATATTTGGAAAAAGTCAAATTTGCTTCACTGTTCTATTATTTTGTAACATTTGTAACATACCGTATACCGCGAAACCGTCAAACCGTGGTATTGTTTTAGACGATTATCATACCGTGAAAAATTCATACCGTTACAACCCTAGTCATGGCCAATCCTAGATCTGCGCGTTTTGAATCGCTGCCTTCACAAGCTGTCGTTCAGAATGCTTACGCAGAAGCGCATCCTCTGATGCGTCCGCCCTCAGGATTGGTTTGCAGCCATAGACCTGAAGGACGCGTATTTTCATGTCTCCATTCTTCCACGCCACCGTCAGTTCTGCAGTTTGCGTCGAAGGTCGAGCATGGCAGTACAAGGTCCTCCCCTTCGGGCTCTCTCTGTCTCCGCGGGTCTTCACCAAACTCGCGGAGGGTGCCCTAGCGCCCCTTCGGCTCGCGGGCATCCGCATACTCAATTGTCTCGACGATTGGCTGATTTTAGCCCACTCTCGGGAGTAATTGACTGCGCACAGAGACGAGGTGCTCCGGCATCTTCGCCGATTGGGGTTGCAGGTTGCAACTGGGAAAAGAGCAGGTTGCAACTGGGAAAAGAGCAAACTCGCCCCGGTGCAGAGGATCTCTTTTCTCGGAATGGAGCTGGACTCGGTCACCATGGTAGCGCGCCTCTCCGGAGAGCGCGCTCGCCTGCTGCTGAACTGTCTGAGGGAGCTCGACAGCAAGTTAGTGGTCCCACTGAAATATTTTCAGAGGCTCCTGGGGCATATGGCTTCCGCTGCGGCTGTCACGCCGCTCGGATTGCTCCATATGAGACCACTTCAGCACTGGCTTCAGGATCGAGTTCCGAGACGCGCATGGCATGCGGGCACACACCGAGTCTCTGTCACTGCGCTGTGTCGCTGCACCCTCAGCCCCTGGAACGACCCCTCGTTCCTGCAGGCCGGTGTGCCTCTGGGACAGGCGTCCAGTCATGTTGTTGTTTCGACAGATGCTCTGGGACAGATGCCGTGTGTCGCGGGCATGCAGCTGTGGGCCTGTGGGTAGGTGCCCAGCTGCATTGGCATATTAATTGCCTAGAGCTGTTGGCAGTGTTTCTTGCTCTCCGCCGTTTTTCTCCGGTGCTAGAGCAGCAACACGTGCTGGTCAGGACGGACAGTACGGCGGCGGCGGCGTATATCAACCGTATGGGGGATATGCGCTCTCGCCGCATGTCTCAGCTCGCCCGCCGTCTGCTCCTCTGGAGTCACCCGCGGTTGAAGTCGCTGCGCGCCATTCACATCCCAGGTATGCTCAACCGTGCAGCCGATGTGCTCTCACGGCAGCAGATTCACTCTGGAGAATGGAGACTCCACCCCGAGTCTGTCCAGCTGATATGGGCGCGATTCGGGGAGGCCCAGATCGATCTGTTGCTTCCCCAGAGAACGCTCATTGCCAGTTGTTTTACTCCCTTACCGAGGGCTCTCTCGGCACGGATGCACTGGCCCACAGCTAGCCTCGGGGCATACGCAAGGAGGACGAGGAGGACGAGGAACAGGTTCTGTTAGTTGCGCCCCATTGGCCCAACCGAACCTGGATATCAGAGCTCTCCCTCCTCGCGACGGCCCTCCCATGGCAGATCCCTTTGAGAGAGGACCTACTTTCTCAGGGACAAGGCACCGTCTGGCACCCTCAACCCGATCTCTGGAACCTCCACGTGTGGTCCATAGACGCGAGGAAGACTTAGGTAACCTGCCGCCCGCGGTGGTTGATACCATCACTCAGGCTAGAGCCCCCTCTATGAGGCGCGCCTACGCCCTGAAGTGGAGTCTATTCACTGAAGAAGACCCCCGATCTTGCCTCCACTCTCAAGGTTTACGTTGCCGCCATCTCCGCTCACCATGACGCGGTGGCTGGCGGCACCGTGAGAAAGCATAACCTCATCATCCGGTTCCTCAGAGGCGCTAGGCGAATTAATCCAACTCGCCCCCCTCTCACACCCTCTTGGGATCTCGCCCTCGTTCTCACGAGCCTGCGATTTGATCCCTTTGAGCCACTCGATACAGTATCTTTAAGATTTCTGCCCCTGAAGACAGCTCTGCTGGTCGCGTTGGCTTCCATTAAGAGGGTCGGGGACCTGGAGGCATTTTCGGTCAGTGACTCGTGCCTGGAATTTGGGTTATGTGCCCAAAGTTCCTACCACTCCCCTTAGAGATCAGGTAGTAACCCTGCAAGCGCTGCCCCCGGAGGAGGCAGACCCAGCCCTGTCCTAACTTTGTCCAGTTCGCGCTCTGCGCATTTATGTGGATCGTACTCAGAACTTTAGATCTTCTGAGCAGCTCTTTGTCTGTTATGGCGGACGGCAGCAGGGAAGTGCCGTGTCTAAACAACGTTTATCCCACTGGATTGTGGAGGCCATTTCATGTGCTTATTTGAGCAGAGGTCAGCCGCGCCCCCCGGGAGTGCGTGCGCACTCCACTCGGAGCGTTGCATCCTCTTGGGCGTGTGTGCGCGGCGCTTCTGTAACAGACATTTGTAGAGCTGCGGGCTGGGCGACACCCAACACATTTGCAAGATTTTGTAATCTGCGAGTGGAGCCGGTTTCCTCAAGGGTGTTAGGTACCTTTGGTGATTGAGGAAACAACTTGGTAGGTGTTGTACACGCTTGCGGTGCCTTTTTTCCCTAACACGGAGAGATGTGCACCCTTCTGTCTGTCAGTAAAGTTCCCCATTCGGTGAGCCTTGCAAATTCCTCCAAGGCCCCCAGCACTGACTCAGCGGAGGAGTCACTTGCTGGCCCATTACGTTGTAGGTCTGCCCGCTGGTCAGCCCGCGTTTTGGGTATAGGTGCCTGCTATGGCCGATCCCCGCTGGTGATCCCCATATGCTTTCCGCCACGGTTAAGCTCCCCCCCTGGGCGGACCCGTGCTTTCCCTATCTGCTAACCACCTTCTTATGCGCACTCCCCCTTTTCAGGGTTAGTCCATATGTAATTCCATTTGTTTCTCCCTATTGGGTGCGGATGGTCTCCGCAGCGTCCTCCCTACTGGGATGGCACGCTTCCCAACGTACTGTTGTATATTCCTAGAATTATCTAGACGCTAGCGACTCCCCAAAAAATATACCTATTCCGTAAAACTTCTTTTGAAGTGGGATAAGTTAGGGCCAAGGGCACGTTGGAGGACCGCGCCTCTCATGATCTGGGTGCGTCACGCTTGCCTGACCGCTCTCTCATGTTGGGTGTTGGTAAGGTGCAGTCATTATGGCGCTTTCAATGGGCTCCCATACGTGGATTTAGAACATCAAATCCACTTATAGTGCTGGAGTTTCCCCCGAAGGGGAACGTTCGAGGTTACTAAAGTAACCCTTCGTTCCCCGAGGAGGGGAACGGAAGCACTATACTCCGTCGCCATAATGACTGTCCCTTAGCTGTTAAAAGTCTCTTCAGCTTAAAAAGGATAGCGTCTACTGGCGCCAGGTGTTCTTATATACTCAGTTGATTGCATATGCTGCACACCTGCGCAGGCTTGCGCTGCCAATTCATTCTTAATTGGCCGGTTCAATACTCTTTCAGACGAGTAGCTTCTGAACAGAATCTCCCATACGTGGATTTAGAACATCAAATCCACTTATAGTGCTTCCGTTCCCCTCCTCTGGGAACGAAGGGTTACTTTAGTAACCTCGAACGTTTTCACTTATTTACAATTTTAGTGCATTTTTCCTGTTTTCGACAAGCTTTTGACTGTTGTGACAAAAATGTGGTGACCATTACCAAATGCTTGATGAGAGAAGTAAATGGTGTTTTTCTGTGCGTATATAGTGTAAATGGACAGATCGCTGTGCTCTTGTCTAAAGATCAAGATTTTACTATATAGTCAAGGAACATCATTATAGTAGGATTTTGGATTCGTAAACAAGGATGACTAGATGGTTAAACAAGCTCTCAAATGTGTAAACAAAATGACATGTAATATATGGCTATACAATAAAATGGCAGCTTAAATATATCATCTAAAACCAACAAGTGTAAATACAAACAATGATAACAACATCAACTGTAACTGTCTCCACTCTTTTCACTCATGTAAATCCGATAGAAAATGATGTCCTAATTTGACCAACAAAAGTGCCCCTCTGAATCTTTGGTAAGGACAGAATCACAATTTTAAAGGGCACAATAAATCGGTATTACTTAAAATTCTAATGCATTTGCATGGTTTGATGCAACATAAATAAGCTTCTGCTGGTTGTTGTTCTCAGCTCATTTTGCCTCAAAAAGATAGTTCACCCAAATATGAAAATTTTGTACACGTACAGGACCTCTTCAGTAGAACATAAAAGATAAGTTTTTAGCTGACACCAAGGTCTTTGGTATTCTAAAATATGCAAGCTAACTTTAAAAGTCAAAAGGCAACATACAGGCTACACCACAACAACTTAAATGATGAACTTAAAACTATTGTCTTGTTTTAAGAAATATTGTCAAAATGAAGTGAGTTTTTCCCTAAAAGAAGCTAAATAGTCTTATGTCTGAATAAAAACAAGATTATTTTGCTGCTTTAAGGAACAACTCACTTAATTTTGACATATTAGTTCTTAAAAAAGAAAACATTCTTTGATTAACTAAAAAATGCTTTTTTTATTTCAGAATTTCGAGATATATGTACTAGAAACAAGACAAATCTAAGTAGGAAAAGCATTTTTTGCAGTGTAATGATATAATACAACTATTTTATGCAATTGGTAATCGATTTGTATACATTGGGTATGTTTACATGAACATCAATGATTCTAATGTGATTAAGACAATACTTTGATTAAGAGTCTACCATGTAATTAGCAATTTTTGATTAATTTCATCCAACTAAAGTCATAAACGAACTAAACAGAAATTGGATTAAGACATGCAGAGTATGCCGATTTTAGTTGCATTATTGAAGTGCAGCACAGACATGTAAACATTGCAATCAAACTATTACCATCGTGTAGGATTTTCACTGAATTTTGCAACAGCACAGTCTATACACACGGCTGTTTGACATGAAATGAAGAGTTTTTTTTGCCTTACGGTGTGCGGTATCAAATTGCATTTAAATAAAACAGTTATTCATACTTCCAGCAGTTCATACTCTCATCCAATATCTCATTTGTCACGGGGGCATGCATGAAATGTTCTTGAATGAAAGTGCCAAACTGCAGTTATAGTCGACAAATTAAGAATGAAACACATGGTGACGCAATGACGTTAATCAAATTATGCGCTATAACATGTAAAATGGGATCATAAAAGAAACATTCAAAGAGCAACTCATGTAAACACCTTAATCATATTATTGTCTTATTCAGATTAAGGCAAACAATTCAATTACTGATGTCCATATAAATGTAGTCAATGTTTCCAGCACAGACTGATTGTTTTGCTTCTTAAGAGTACATCTCTACCAAAGCGTTTTTCCTGAGCTGAGCTGTTTTTCTTTTGTTGTTGTTAATGGAATTACCATGTTTTTAAAATGCTGGCAGTGTATCCAGGTGCTGAGCATCTCTATTATGCTTAGCAGTGTGTGTGCTCAGCATTTTAAAAAAAGTTTTAAAACAGTTGGAGAAACACCCATAGCTGAGCGCTTCTGTTTCTGAAGCGCAAAAACACTTCAGTGAATACGCAGCCTAAAACTTTGGGGTACAGCCCTCAAAAATCTCTCTTTTAAACTAATATGTTCAACAGGAGGCTTTACAATAATATATTTGTGCATATATATTAGCCATAACTGGAACTAATTACAAAAAACTCAAAATCACAGTCTAAAAAGAAGTACAGCCAAAGTAATATGTTGGAGAAAATTTTAAAGAGGACCTTTTATGCCTTTTTTACGCGATGTAAAATAAGTTTCTAAGTGTGAATGTGAACTTTGAGCTCAAAATGTGCCACAAATAATGTTTTATTTATTAACTCTATGGAACTGCCCCTTTTAGGCTTTGATCCTAATTGTGTCATTTTGGTGACTGTCACTTTAAATTCAAATGAGATGTGCTGTGGGGGGTGGAGCTGCAAATGTCTATGTGGCAGCATAGTGGCAGATTCAAAAACAAGACTATCATTCTATGCCAATTAAAAAGAGAGATCATCACTAACGGGCGAGGCTTTCCACAGCGATGACACTTATAAAGGGAGAATGTCAATCAAAGTGTTTCTGCAGACTGTTTATATGAAATGTGACTATAAAAAATAAACTTAATACATTTTTACCATTAGAAGCTGGTTATTTTCACACACTACTGCTACAAAACTGTTTAAACCTCTAATAAATGTGATTTTTGAATAATAGGTCACCTTTAAATAAAGTTTTACAGGAAAAATCAAGAAAAACATCAACATTACCATACAATTTTCATTTTGGGTGAACTACCCCTTCAGTAATGTGTATTTAAAATCTAACTAGGTCATGAGCGTGTTTATTTCTTTCATTTTGCCCATTTTAATTGTCAGCTTATTTTACTGTCTTCCTGTGCTTCTCAAGTAATGTGTAACTGGCTGGAGTTGAGAATGAAATCTGTGTTTGATCATTTAAAGCTCTCCCTGTGCCAAGTGTTGAAGAGCTTCACCCTCACAGCGCATGCAGTGATAGCCCAGTTCAGAGGTCACGTCCCAGCAGCCCTGCTTCAGGTAGAAGTCCAGAGATGACTTATTCCAGTCCAGCACAGTGAAGTTGAGCTGAGTGCAACCAGCAGCCAGACCAAGCTGAGAGGAGCACGATCACAAACATGTCAGATTTACACAGTCTACACAGCAGGTTAAATCATAGTTTCTTTGCTAAGTTATTATGACCGGATGCCACATGCTTCAATTATCTAGCACAAATAAACAGCATTCACCTGGGAAACTTTGGCCATCAGAGCCTTGCCAATGCCCTTGCCTGGAAATACTCACAGAAAATCATTAATCAGTCAAAGAGGTTAAGGTTCATCTTAAATTTAAGCACACAGTGTTTTATTTTTACCTCTGAACTCTGGCATCACATACAGATCCTCCATGTACACAGCTCGACCTTTCCATGAGCTGTACATGTAGAAGTACAGAGAGTAACCGACTTTGGTGTGACCTGTGAAGAGTCACACACGCAAATCATTTCTGTCAGTTTAATGGAAAAAAATAAAACACACATGACTTGTATACACTCACCGGCCACTTTATTAGGTACAACTGCTCATTAATCACAATTAATCACAGGCCAATCACACGGCAGCAACTCAATGCATTTATGCATGTACACATGGTCAAGACAATCTGCTGCAGTTCAAATCGAGCATTAGAATGGGGAAGAAAGGTAATTTAAGTGACTTTGAACGTAGCATGGTTGTTAGTGCCAGACGGGCTGGTTTGAGTATATCAGAAACTGCTGATCTACTGGGGTTTTCACAAACAACCATCTATTGGGTTTACAGATAATGATCTGAAAAAAAGAAAATATCCAGTGAGCGGCAGTTCTGTGGGCGCAAATACCTTGTTGATGCCAGAGGTCAGAGGAGAATGACCAGACTGGTTCCAGCTGATAGAAAGGCAACAATAACTCAATTAACCATTCGTTACAACCAAGTTATGCAGAAGAGCATCTCTGAATGCACAACACGTCCAACCTTGAGGTGGATGTCCTAAAGCAACAGAAGACCACACGGGGTGCCACTGCTGTCAGCTAAGAACAGAAAACTAAGGCTACAATTCACACAGGCTCACCAAAATTGGACAAAAGAAGTTTGGACAAACGTTGCCTGGTCTGACGAGTCTCGATTTCTTTTGCAACATTCGGATGGTCGGGTAAGAATTTAACATCAACACCATGAAAGCATGGATCCACCCTGCTTGTATCAACAGTTCAGGCTGGTGGTGGTGTGGTAATAATCTGGGGGGTATTTTCTTAGCACACTTTGGGCCCATTAGTACCAATCGGGCATCGTGTCAATGCCTCAGCCTACCTAAGTATTGTTGCTGACCATGTCCATCTCTTTATTACCACAGTGTACCCATCTTCTGATGGCTACTTCCAGCAGGATAACACACCATGTCATAAGGTGCCAATGATCTTAGACTGGTTTCTTGAACATTACAATGTACTCAAATGGCCTCCACAGTCACCAGAACTCAATCCAACAGAGCACCTTGAGGATGTGGTGGAACGGGAGATTCACATCATGGATGTGCAGCTGACAAATCTTCAGCAACTGTGTGATGCTATCATGTCAAAATGGACCAAAATCTCAGAGGAATATTTCCAGTACCTTGTTGAATCTATAGCACAATGGATTAAGACAGTCCTGAAGACAAAAAGGGGTCCAACCTGGTACTAGTAAGGTGTACCTAATAAAGTGGCCAGTCATTGTATAAAGCACATAAAAAGCATGCACTGAATGAACAATATATGAAATTCTGATGATAACCTTATTATATTTGTTTGACTTTTTTACTCAACACAATTCCTCTTCCACTTAAATTGCTCCTTCTATTAACTTGCATACGGTTAAAGTCAGAATTATTAACCCCCCTTTGATTTTTTTTTTTCTTCCTTTTTTTAAATATTTCCCAAATGATGTTGAACAGAGCAAGGCAATTTTGACAGTATGACTGATAATATTTTTTCTTTTGGTGAAAGTCTTATTTGTTTTATTTCGGCTAGAATAAAAACATTAATTAAACAAAAATTAAACCGAAATTGGGGGGGGGGGGTAAAGAGGGGGGCTAATTATTCTGACTTCAACTGTATATAAATCCCATGACATTATTTATTCACAGGTTATGGCATATATTGTGACTAAATGTGAGGAGAAAAAATGGCATAGCAAGCTTATGTAACAACCATGCATTCAGGCTAGGCAAGACACGCATGCTCAGATTAGATAACAAACATCCAGGAGGACAGCAGTTTTTAATCTGTTTAAATAACAATGGAGGTAGATAGTGATATATGTCTTTACTCTTACCCTCTCTGGACTTTAAGTGTTCTGGTACTTCAGCAATAATTCCATGGAAAAAAGGGTTTTTGGAAAATCCATCCTGCTCCAGATCTATAGTAATAGAAGTATGTTTGGTTACAGATCTCTTATTACAGAAACCCACGTCATGAACTACTCCATGCAAATCAATCTATCTTTAGTGGAGAAATTTAACAATCAGGCCTACCTCTTTGTGTGATCTTGACATGGTCAGAAACTTTTTCAAACTCTGCCAATTCCTATAGTTTAAACAATTCAAACAGTTAATTTTAAACAGTTTACTTTATTCTCCTATGCCCATTGTGACATTTTATTTTATTTTATTTTTTCGATTTTGCGACTATTTAATACATGACAAAGATGTCATGAATTTGGAAAGCATAGAGGAATAAAATTTCCCTTCATCTCTCGACATATAAGATGATTTTTCACAATAAAAACAGCTGCTAAGATGATAAATTTCACATATTGTCTCAGTGTGGCGTAACAGTATGATAAAAGAACGCCTACTTCAACATCTTTGCCTATTTAGTCAATTCGGGCCTGTAGTGAGAGCTGAGTAAATTCATATGAGACAAACATCTTTTTAATTATGTGCTACAATTGTTCTAATTGTTACATGTTTCATATATGTCGCTTTTTTTATCTCAAGTGACCCATACATTTTTCAGAGTGCATTGCAGCAGTGTTCACATTTTATTTTAATACACTTAAATGCCCAGCAGGCACATAACATCATAAGACATTAATATAAGGTTAGATTTAAGTTGTGACGTCAGGTGACCAAAATTCTAATTTCTAGCCAGCGTCTAAGGACAACATTATTTTGACGTCCAATAAAGAAGTCAAATTACGTTGATTTTGGTTGATTTTAGGTTGTGTTGGAAATTGACCAAAATCCAACGTATGACAGATGTCATAGTGGTAACGTCCACACAATGTCAAGGTGTAACATGGTTAGACGTTGATATTTGGTTGATTTTAGATTGGACATTGACGTCGGCCTTAACATCCAAGTCTATAATTTATTAGCCTGTCAAATGTTTGTCTTTCAAAGACCAACCAAAATAACTATTTTAGTGTTTTTTAAGTGAAAATATTGTAATTCTGAATTGAAAAAATAAGTAAGTAATAACTGATATGCAATTAAAAAGCCTTTTCTTTTTAAAGTCACACAGTTTTCTGGTGTATAGTGAACCAGGTTGCAGAATTTTGCTTTGAAAGAAAAGCGTCTTGAAAAGCTATAGATTTAATTTACATGTCGGCCTACTGAATCATCCATTTTTGTGTTGGGTTTTGAATTATATTAAGTTTTGCCTCAGTTGTTCCTGCTGTTCAAAACTTCAAACATTCAAAATCTGTTTGATTTTTTTTTTTAAATATTGTTATTAATTTCAATTGTCATTTGCACCATAAATAACAAGGTTTTAGTAATGAGGTTAATTTATTCCATGACGTTACACTGGCCTGCTTAATGTAGCAGAGCGGCGTCTGAGCTTCAATCTTTCATCTTTAAGATGACGTCATCGCGCAGTTTCCGAGATTCAAAACGCAGAAGTCGCTGCGGCTGGCTGACAGGTGAAGTCTGCCGCACATTGCCGTCCACTGGGCTCAATGACAGGAAAGTGTCAGGTTACAGTGTGCCAAACAAACATGGCTTACTGTAACTCTGCCATCGACACTGATGCACTTACGCACGTGCGCACAGCACAACAGCAGTGTTTGGGGGATATTGAATGATTGCGCATGCTGTCGATGACGCAAATGATCACCGTTTCATTTTTTCCCCAAACAGTTTTAAAATAGTCAGAAATGGACGGACGCAGGCATATGACACGCGGAAGAACGCATCATGGACTCGACTCACCAGTATCATCCGAGAGATGTCCTTACAGTCCTCAAGCGTGGCGGCCCGGATTGTGAAATCCATCTTGCGGTTAACAATAACAACACACACAGTGTGCTACAAAAACTGAGTGTTTGTCAACGTGGAATAATTTAGAATGGAAATACGGAAGGGATGTATTTACGCTGCTCGGACTCCACGCGGCATGAAAAGATGAAACCGCTGAAACAGCGCCATCTGTGCGTTCGGATTTGATATTGCAGTTTGGGCTCCACTGTTGGACATCCAGTTTCAATCTGAGGTCGGGGGACCCAGAGGCCCATGAGGGAATGTTATGGGGAAATTTAGTGTAGAGAATGCATTAGAAAATAGCAAATAATTAATTAAATGTAATTAATATTGTCATTAAATAAAATTGAAAGAAGTTTAAAAAAAATAAACATGAACAAATGCTAATTTGAATAAAAATAATGTCATTTATTTTCTTTTCGGCTAAGTCCCTTTATTAATCTGGGGTAGCCATAGTGAAATGAACTGCCAACCCATCAAGCACACGTTCTACACAGCAGATGCCCTTTCACCTGCAACCTATCACTGGGAAACATCCATACACACTCATTCACACACATACACTACGAACAATTTAGCTTACCCAATTCACCTGTACTGCATGTTTTTGGACTTGTGGGGGAAACCGGAGCACTCAGAAACCCACGCAAACACAGAGGGAACATCCACAAAGAAATGCCAACAGACCCAGCCAGGGATCAAACCAGCAACCTTCTTGCTGTGAGGCAATTGTGCTACCCACTGCTCCACTGTGCTGCCCTTAAAATAATGTAATAATTATAAAATAATTTATGCAAAACATTATTAAATGACATAACATTCAAATAAGGACAATATCCTAAATGTTATTTTACATTAATAAAGATAGAATTTGTGTTTAAAAATAATAATATTAGATAAAAATAAACAAGTATATGACTGAATAATACTGTGCTGTAAGTAAATATAAATAATGTAACTTAGAAGAAAAAATTCCAAATAATGTTTAGATCCAGTTATATTATCATTATTATTACAATATATTTTGTGCGAAGCTTTTTAGGTGCATTTAACATTTTTAGGTCCCTTTATATCAGGATGCTTTAAAATTTGGGTGTCTGAGACATCTGAAACCTATGATTTGTATAAATATTGCAAGCAAACCATAAACTAAAATGTAGGCTTAAATATTTTTAATGTTGACTCTAATTATTACTGATAAGAGATCACTTGAATGATTGTCCCAAAGAAGCATTTCTTCTTTACAGTTTATTAGTGATATGTCTAATGGTAGTTTTCATTTTAGTCATTCTACCTTTTGGTTTCATATTAACTTGTGTGTCGGTGACAAAACCCCCTCACAGTCTGTGGCTTCCTTCCTGAATCATTTAGACATGACATCATGTGCAGTGTCATCATTTATATTAAAGCCAGAATAACTTGCTATGACCTTAAATAAAGCATGAGAAGAACATAAAATGTAAAATTACTAAAATTGTCAATTGCACAACCTCTATAACAGACTGATCTTTTTGAATATAGGTTCACATAAACCTTGGGTTGGGTATCATACATCTTGTTCCTTTAAAATATATTAAATAAGCTGCTTCTGTAGCTGATAAAGTAATATTGTGAACTCAGAGGCCATTTATTCTTAGGTTATTGTTATTCCCATAATAAATACATTTGTGGCTGAACTCCAAGAGATGCTAGGTGTTTTATAACAATATATAAACATGTTTAGATCTACAACATTTCCAAAGGTGTTTATAGTCCTTTTTAAATTCAAAACAAAGTCAGAACAAGGCACAAACACTATTCCAGTGTCTATTCGTCTGAATTAATGTAAATAGTTTATAGGCTAATAGCCAATTTATAATATGATCATAGCTTCCTTTTGGTTTATTTGGGCATTAGCTTCAGCCCACGGACCATACATCCCAGTCCACAATGTCGCTTTTAAACTCTAAAAGGGGTAAACTGTATTTTCGGACTTTGAAAGCTGCTAAATATAGATTCGTGGACTCATGCACTAGTCAGACGTACAGGGTGGAGAAGCTTTCGTTTCAACGGTTATATTCAGATTTCGCTCTGAGTGACTGGCCACGTGCCACTAAAAACAGACCCAGTGTTGAAGTAACGGGCGCTGCTGACTGAACCGTTGTCTGAGGCTGAAGACTAACGCAAGCAAGGAGGAAAATACAGCCGTTTTCCATCAGCGGCGGATGATGCTAAGATGACGTAAATATTCAGCCGCATGCATGTGAGAATGTGCCCGGGAGCGCGCGTCAGTTCATTCAAACGGAGGAGCGCGCGTGGGCTTCAGACAGAAACGGCAGCTAATTGTGCTCAGTATCCTTGAATAGCTGAATCATGGACAGGTGAGGGCGAGAAAATCTTGAGATACCACACAACAACAGCATACTTTTAGACGTTAGAATTTACGCACACATTCCTTCAATTCTGCAAAATAACCTTCATCCACGACCAACACCATGCCAATTAAGGCTAATCACAATATTTAATTTCTGACGTTTTCAATATGTTTTGTGTTAAATTACCCCAGCAGGCACACAACGTCATAAGACATTAATTTTAGGATAGATTTAGATTGTGACGTCAGCGGTGACTAAAATGCAATGTCTAGGCAGCTTAGGACATTATTTTGACATCCAATAACAACGTCAAATTAGGATATTTGGTTGATTTTAGGTTGTTAAAAAGTGACCAAAATCACAACGTCGAGCCAACATCTTAAACCAACATCATATTGACGTCAAATACTGACATTATTCTTCAGGTATGGCAACTAAAATCCAACGTATGATAGACATCATAGTGCTAACGTCAACACAATGTCAAGCTGTAGCATCTTTGGACTTTGATTTTATAAGTTGGTCGTTGGACATTGATGTCGGTCTGACGTTGGGTTCTGACATCAACCTGATTTTCATTTCCAAACAAAATGCAACATCTTCAGGATGTTGGGATAAGATGTCAATTTGACATCATGTTGATGCCAAGCAGCAACCTCCCGCTCTCCCTCGTAAAGCTAATACGGAATTAACTGAAACTGCAGTTCATCAAAATTCCCCTAGTCTTGGCTCTATAATAAAGTGGATTTCTATTGACCCCACTGTTAAAATAGCCAACTTTACAGCAGAAAAAGAGGTGTTTACAGCCTGGTACAAAGAACAATTTTGGTTCATATAGCTAATATTATCTTTCATAACAACTGTGAGGGGGTGAATTTTTTTTATAACGATATAAGGTTATATTAATCCTGCAAAATTAAGGGCTTGGCCACTTGAGTGACTGCTAGGTCTCGCTGGTCGCCATCACTTTTAACTCAGCTTAATCCGACTGATTAGCTGTTGAACTTTTGTTTTATGTGGCTTTACACAGTCAATTGCCTTTTGGATTTATTTCTTACAATTGTCAGATGATATGGCATGCTGTGTGCACTTAATTGTACTCACAAACCATTTACGTGGCCTCTATGCAGGTGAGTGAATTTGTATACCATCTCTATAAATGTATTTGTTTTATTTAAGATAATTTATCATTTATAATTTTGTTTAGAACCCGAATGTACTCCAGAATCTGACAGCTGGATTTGCAGTATAAACAGTCATCTGAAACGTTGTTACACAGTGTTATGCCTGGATTTTATAAGTAGCCATGCATTTACTAACACAAGCTATATTTGAAGTGTTTGGAAGTAATTCAGGTATTCCTCCAGTAGAAAACCATTATAAGAACAATGTTTGGTGGCTTAATGTATTACAACGTTTTTTAAAAGTCTAAACACTTCATTGAAATAGAACACAGCCAGGCACATAGTTAGAACACAAACAAGTTGCAGGTAATAAAGTATTAAGCGTTTCTCCCAAAGAAAAGCCTAAGCAAAAATGCTAGCACGTGTCTCTGTAGCTCTGCTCACGCTCTGCCTCTTTGCCCTTGTTTGGTATCCCTCGGTTGGTGCGATGACACGCAAACAAAATGGTGACGGTTGGCCATGCCTATTGGTGGCTTTTTCTGTGTTCTTCAGAAACAGCACGTGATGTCATGTATACTACCTCCATATCTTTTACAGTCTATGGTTGATGCCCTGTGCTTGCTGGGTACACATTGTTATTCGCAAATTGTAAGTTGGCCTATGTTTTTTAAACTTAAAGAAACCACACTTACTTTTTTGTAGGCCCATTATTTTGACTTTAATTAAATCAATTGGCCTGCTACTGCTTAAAAAGTACATTTCCTTATGGAAGCTATAGCTTGTAAGACAGAATAAATGGGCAATTTAATCTTTTTTTTAGCCCACAGTTCCGTTTATATTACGAGTTAACATTTTAAGATGTTTTTCGCCATTAAAATTTTTCTTAATAAGTTATTTCTTTTTTTACAATTTGGAATTTTTTTAAAAGTAATTTTTGACTTTAAATTCACACAGTTATAATCTTATATTTTATTCAGACAAGCTTTCTTACTAAGTTTAGTGTGAATGTCGGATACTTACTCACATGTTGTCATCATCACATGTCCTATGCTGTCATCAGTTGCATTGCTTCACTGTCATTTGAAAAACTCTTTCTCATGACCCAAATGCATAGCAATGTCTGTTGTTTGCACTTCAGAATCACACTGAAAGAACTAGTTCATCCAGGTAATTGTGAATACTCTTTTTTTTTTCTTTTTTTTTTTTTTGCATACTGTGAATTGAACATAGTACTTTTGTCACATACTGTTCTGAGGATATTATATAGTAGAGTATGCCATTTTTGATACAGCCAGTTTCCAAGTTGCGTTGTCTGATTTGTCAACTCTCATTATCTTGGTACTGATGTTGCAGTCTTTATTTGGGAAGAAAAACACAACTTATGTGGAGAGAATTGGAGAAAAATAATCTCTGTCAGGGATCACAGTCTTTCGGATGAGACATTAAAGCATGTGTTAAGTATTTTTCCTTATCATAAACACAACAGAAATTTTTTTAACTCAACTTTTTGGGTTAGTTATTGTGATATCCCGATTGCAGCAGAGAAATACTGGGAAATGCCTGTACTGTGAAATGTATGAATGAATGTCTTCATATCTCTTAGCCTAATAATCTTAAAATGTAAGCGAAAACACCTGTTTTGTCATCACTTTAGACATTACGCTAGAGAATCATTCAAATACTAGCATAAACAGTTTCTGCTGTTCTGACATCAGCTGCAGATATCAGTGAATGGGGGAAGAAATTCCTCATACAAAAGGGTTTTTAGACTCTCCGTGTTTTATTTTCTTTTTTATATAGATGATTATGCCATTAAATTGTTGTATAAATG